TTAAAGTCATCAATGAGATACATGTGTTCTCTGTCTGGATCTGAAGCAATCAGATTTAGTTCACGCACAAACTCAGCCTGTGTGGGATCTGAAGTATTTACAATTCCTATAGCATACATTTCAATGTTTGCTGCATGAGCCTCTCGAACGACAATATCTAGTTTTACAGCTTCTCTCTTGTCTGCTTGGCCATCTGTTAGCACAATAGCTACTTTTCGCACTCCTGTTCGAGCACCAAAAAATCCTTCCTGGGTTGCTTTACGGATAGCAGTTCCAGTGTAAGTCCCTTCTCCCATGTATTGCATTTTTCTAATTGCTTGTTTAACATCCTGTTGAGTTGTGTATTTGTTGAGACCAAATTCTAGCCGAACTTCTAAACTGTATAACACAAGGCCAATTCTGGTAGCATTTCTGCCTACAGTTACTCTGTCTACTAAAGCAGTTACAAAGTCTTTGATAATCTCAAAGTTTTCTGGTCCCACACTCTCAGAGCTGTCGATCACAAATACAAGCTCCATGGGAATTTCCTTACATTTAATACCACAACCTGCAAAAGAGAAATAAAAAACCAGATCATGATGATTTGGAATGCTTTTGGAAAGAAGAAGAATGTAAATATAATGAAGAAAAAATAGAATCTGAAATTAAAGATTTTCTGAGTACTTACCACATATCTCTTTAATTAACTTAATTATATCTTCTCTCTGGATATGAAGAAAATAAATATAAAAATATTTTACAATTTGCCTCTTTCAAATGAGGTATAATATTGACACTACTAAATAGTTTGTTTATAATGAATATCTGTGTTCTACAGGGTTTTACAAAAAATCTTACTATTTAACTCAAACCTGACCTTCCAAACTTGGAATGAGTCCCACATTTCACAATGAACTATCTGTTATGGCATATAAGAATCATTAACTTGACAACACTGTAACACCTCTATCTGAAACAGTTAACTACTGTTATTGTAAAGAATGTTTTGTGATGATTTGGTTCTCATTAAAACTTCAAGTCAAAATCAATTCATATTTTTGCATCTGAATAATCTCCACTGGAAGTGGAGAAATAGACCCAACTTCAGGAATCGTATTGTTTGTAGTCAGCTGGCATATGACAGAGAGCGCCAATACAGAATGAAACTGGGATTTGTCAACCATAGTGTACCTGGCCTGATGTATTACCAGCTTTCAGCTGCAAAAAAAATAGCTGCTGCCTTTAGAGCTGTCTGTTCAGAGAAGCGATAGCTTCTGTGAGACACAAACAAAGTTTCTCGTTATTTGTTACATTTTTTGAAGTGCAGGACAGGCATTGAGTCAGCCTTTCAGATACAACCGTTTGCTACTGCTGCTGAGCTTCCATTATAAACCTCAGTAGTATTTATATACTCACTGACATGCTTTACTAGATTTGGTTCTAGTGCAGTTCATGCTTAGCAGAAATATAATCAAGTTTATAGCTTGATAGACCATGACAGGTTTGAAGATCTTTGCTCTTCATACTCTTAAATACTTTTAAAAAGCTTTCCTGCAGCAGGTACACATCTGTGTCATCTAACATTAACTGTAAAAGAACATGTAGCAGAAAAATACTTAAAATCACCATGAACTTTAAATTCCATTTCAGCAGAAAGTAGATGAGAAAAAAAGTCAGACACCTTTGCGTGGTTTCTTTCTATATTATTACTGAGACCGCTTCTAGTCAGAAAGCTCTTTCCAAAATAATGAACACAGGAAACATTTAATCTGATAGTATCTTTTATTGTTTATATCTTGCTGTAATGGGACTTAAATAATGGAATTTGCTTACTGTTAGGCCTTGCTCTCCCTTTGGTCCAGCTTTGCCCTGTAACAGTGATTGTTAATTAAGTTACTGCAATTAGTTAGTAATATTATAATTCAGAATATGACTTAATCAATACCATTATTAGAACAATATTTGGCCAGTAAGAACTTTAGCAACAAAAAATAGTTTTCTTGTGATATTACCTAGTGCATTCAGTATCTACAACCTCCTAAGGTGGTGAGGTTTTTATGGGAATTGGATGACTTCAAGTCTCCCACTGGATCACTGATTGTCAGTTTACATTAGAAAGGGAGAATCTGTGCAAAGCTTTCCTGTCTACCATGTTGTGTTTGTTTCCTTTCTCAAGACTGTATACCTGGCTGACACCCTGGAATGATCAGAATTCTGCTTCATCACAGGTGAGTCTAATAGGGCCAGTGTCAGGGCAAGAACAGCAATGGTGTTTATGTATCCATACTTAATGGTATGCAAATGTCAGAGTAGAGGGGACCACATTTTGCTTTCCAGCTTTTGGGGACATGCCCATCCAGCAAAAGTTACCATTTTGCCTCACTTCATCTTTTCATCAGCTTTGAGGGAACATCTGAGCTACAGGTACTTGGTAGCCATAGAACAGAATTGCATAGTTTTGTCTTAAAACATGGCAATTGTCTTAAGAAAGAAACCACATCAGTGGGAAGTGGGGTATTCAGCATGGAAATGTCTTCTATTTGCTTTTAAAGGTTTCCATAGTTTTGGTTTCTTAAATTTTTCAGATTATATAGAGTTAAATAGCAAGAAGAACACATAGCCGAGCTTTATTTTTAAGCAGTTTAAGAAAACTGACATGATAAACCCGAGTTACTCACAGGTTCTCCAGATAAACCAGGGTCACCCACATCACCTTTTTCTCCTTTTTTCCCCTTTTCACCTGTAGCTCCTCGATCTCCCTTTAAAACCATATTGGTAAGCAGACAAAGTCCAAGTCAGTTTTTATTACGCTTTTCACATTTCTCTCTAGCTGCCTTTCAGCTTGAATTCACCTTGAGCTTCTGACACAAGTTAGAAATCTATGTTAGAGATCATTTAAATCAACTGGTATTTGTGAATTTCATTAACAACTTGTAGTACTGGCTAAGCATTTTTACAGGAAAAAATAGCTGAAGCAGTTTGAACAATGAACCATCTTGATGGATGAACAAGTACATGCAGACAGAGGGGTTTCATGGGATATTGCATGATGGAAATTATTATCTGTGTCTGAGAAAAATAAGATAACAGTAGGAAAACTGAGACGAAAAGCAAGGACGTAGTTTGAATTAATAGTGGGAATATCACTCTCAGAAACCTTTTGGCCCAGAAAAGGTGTTTGGAATAGCAAACAGATGAATTAGTGCCTCCTGGTTTGATTTTTAGCAGGCTGTGGGACTTTGCACAGCCTTTTCTGAGCTGATGTGTTCACATTCAAAATCTGATTCCAACGCACATTTCTCTTTTTCTTAACGTTGATGTAGTCCCCAAATTTTGCATAGTGTGTGGGTAAAAGAAAGGCAGTGTTATTAAATCTAATATCTGTATTTCTTCTAATTGCATTAGAAGATAAGCCTCATTTGATATTAAAATAAGCAATGCTGAAAGAGACATTCCTATAAAATATAAACACAATCATGTGAATGACTGGGGTTTTCCCAAATTCCCATTCCCTTTTCACAACATTCACATGCCTTCAGCGAGAGCTGACTGTAATGAACATTTTCAGTACGTTGGCTTTGGTCTAGGACATTATCTCTGATTTAGATATCATACCTTCTGTCCCAAAAGTCCTTCTCCAGAGGGGCCTCGTGGTCCTGGCATTCCTTGAATTCCTTGTTCCCCCTAATGATAATCCAGGTAGTGATATTAACCCTTTGTAATCATTCATCATGCATTCATTTTAAAAGGTCAAAAAGAAAGTGTTTCAAACTGCATTTTAAGTAGTATCTTGAGGCACTTGAGATAATGTAGTAGCTAGCTAATATTTCTCAAATACTTCATCAGTATATCTGCTCTAAAGATATATAATATTGGAAAACTACATGATCATTATTTGTTTTAATTCTCCTGCTTCCCCTTTCCATCCCATTTTATTCCTTCTTATTCCGCCTTTCTTATTTCTGTCTTTTGAGTCTGTCTCATCTGATCTATGCTTTGGGTAAAAGAGCATATTATAGGGAAAAATTAATATTACACATAGATTCAGGATGGAGACTCCTTCTCTACCACAGGTGGTAGTTCACATAACCACTTCAGACTGTCTCCGTGAGCATGAGAGTTGGGGAAGAGGGAATGGTATTTTTAATTTTGTAAGGCTATCTTTCACTGATAAAAGACACCCCTGCTTCCTCCTCCCTCGATACACACACCCTTGGGCTTGCTGTTTACAGCAGTAGAGAGAGAACATAACTTTGTAGGTGCTCATGTTATCCTCATTTTCTAGCCGGAGGCTTTCTCATATTAGAAACAATGTGAAATCTCCTTAACACTGTGATGGTCAGATTGAACACCCAACGCTGAGTCTTTTTACCTTAATTCCTTGAATACCTTCACCAGGAGGTCCCAGAGGGCCAGGTGGCCCTGGGCGTCCTATGGTTCCCTAGAGAGAAACCCTGCATATGTTAAATACAATATTCATAATAAAAATACACAATAGATTGTTATACCACCATGTAATTTCCTGTCTATTCACTACCAAATTGGTGTCCTTTTATAAGCAGCGTGGATAAGATTGCTCTAGCTGACAAAGAATCTTTTTATCCTTTATCAGATTACTAAAATCCAGTTTATACTTCAAAGGAGTCACGCAGGGCTTAATGCTCATTGAACATGAATCACCTTGCTGACGGAGATATACATTGCATTGAAGGATGGATTATATTGGTGGGACACTGAGGACTGAATTAAGATTTAAGTGAGGATTATTATTGTTGTGTTAGCTTTCATCACTATTAAGTTTACACAGTAAGACCCATAGACATCATACTGATGTGGCATTGCAAATAAACACTGCTAATTTATAAGGTAACTTTTAAAAGAACTCTAGAGAAAATATTTCAGTTCAATATGTTATTCACAGAAAGCAATCAATACCTACATAGTACCATATTAATTTTATGCCTATATTGCTATTCCAGTATTCCTGCATTAAATTTTCAATTTTGTCATTTGTAGGGATCCTGTGCACATGCCAGTCCTTGGGACTAGCACTGGCTGGGGAAGCACTTCACCATTGCTTAGCTCTGGACCTAGCCTTCATGCCAACATGAACCAAATCTCTGGGACCAATAAGCCACATTGTGCAGGTAATACATTATTTTGTTGCAAAATCTTTGCATTTGACCTTGTTCAGTTCATTTACATCTACATTCTAAAACAGTTCTTTTGTATTAATAGACTTACAAAGCTGAGCTGTAGGAGCATAAGAATTTCCAGTTTGGGAGGTTTCATAGTGAAAATGGGTTTTATAGTTACAATTATTTCCAGATCTTTGTCACAGTGTATATTATAATTATACATGTAATCCTTTTTTCAAGGATTGGTCATCATATTGGTCAATAATCATAATTGGATTATTATTAATTTACTTTATACAGTAAAAAAGGGGAATTAATTCTAAAATAACTCAACAGTATGCCTGTCATTGTAACAGTAGTATAGGCAAGACATGATAATGTGCTTGCCAGGCCATTAATTCTAACCAATGTGAGGTCTGAATAAATTTTTGCTACTCAGTTGCAGCTAATGTCTGTAGGAGCTAAATGTTTTGTCACCAATCTTCACTGCAAGATTATCACTTTATAATTTATTGTATGCAATAGGAAGAAGGCCATGGTTTATGGCTGTCAGCAGAAACATTTTTTCTTTTCTACAAGAGACACTGTATTGTTTAGTTATCTTATTAGTTGGATTAGTTGTTTCTAGTGAAGAGTAAAGACAGAAAACATGTAGATGTGTATGCACTATCACACATTTTCATACTATTCTTTTTCTTTTTTAGAAAATAGACAATGGGAGACATAATTGTTTAAATGGCTTACTTTTGGTCCTGGCAGGCCTTCTCCTGGGGGACCTGGGAGACCAATTGGTCCTCTACTACCGGGATCACCCTGAAAGTTGATACTTCAAAAAATAAGTAGTGAATACCAAAATTTAATTTATCTCTAGAATTCCTAGCATCTGCTGTACTCAAATGGGACAAATTGAGGAGGATTACTGAACAGCAGAGTGCAAGTCTAAACAATGCTAACCGTGAAAATTTCAGTCAGGACAAGAAAGTTATTTGGGATAAACGGTGGCTAGTGGTCTAATCATATTCAAGACATGTACAGTAAATTACACAGGAATTACATTTCCCATATTGTAAAATGAACTCCAGGTTCCCCAAACCAAAAAAAAAAATTTTTTTGCTTGCTGCCTGTCTGTTGAATCAGACTCTGTGTTCGCACTGGCACCGTTCTAGCTTTTTCCCTATCAGTGCCTTCAGACAGCTAGGGGGTTGAGGTTAATGGAAAAAGGGGGTATGTCCTTTTAAGAGACACTAGGCATATTTAAATAGCTGTAGTCAATCCTTCAACTGCCTGTAAAATTCCAGTAATCCTGCAGTCAGCATCAGGATGAGTTCTGAAGTGAAGCTTGAAGATCTTCTATGGGATCTACCTTTTATATATTGACAAATATGTCAAAGCTGGATTTAAAAGGAATTTTGACTGTGACTTATGAGTAGGAATTATATCTGCATGAAGTAGAGTACACACATGCATTTACTCTTCTAGAAATTAAGGTCTTTACCTTAGGTCCTGGTAGTCCAACTCCATCTGGGCCTTGTTCACCAGGAATCCCAGGAAGGCCTGGCAAGCCCTGAAATTATATGCATAGACAAATTATTAATTTAGTTTACAGCTATATTGACTACATGCTTTTGTTATCATTAATATTGTAGTATCTTGAATATACTGTCTCCTAGTGGATCACTGTGGTCTACAACTGGTTGAATTCTACTCTGATAAGCCAGAAATGGTGCCAGTGGCATTTGCATGTGTGTTGCATGTCATGCAGGAGGCTTGCATGCATTTGAAGACAGGAGTCAGATCCAGAGAGGCAGGTGCAGAAGCAATTCTGCATGGGATTGCACAAAAATATCTGAAAGTACTATAAATCAAATTCCAATTTCCATGTTGACATTCATTACTTTTTGTGCCTCCATGTGGCAATTGTATGCACTTTTGCTGTTGTCTTTAGCACAAGTAAATGCTAGTATATCACCAAACTCCCTGACTCCAGCCAGCAATCTTCCTGGGGCTTCCTCACTGCACAGGCATGTAATGGCTAGGGCTGGAGGAGCACAGTGTTGAGCAGACCAGATCTGTAAGGCCAGCACTGCATATGTGTGCAAGGAAGGGAGAGAGGAAGGAGCCTTTTCTCTTTGTATCCTTTTTGTGGGGATTGGTCATATCTACCAGCAAAGTCCTCTGTAAAGGGCTGTAAAGTGGATCAACCAATTCTTTGAATTGGTTCTTGAAGCCACACCTTCAACAACCTAATGAACAGAACTGAGGATGGTTTGCTCTTCTGGCTTTTTGGATAGTAGGTTCTTTTTTAGTGATTCTGGAACATAGCATTGCCCTGAGTTCACACCAATGTATATGGACACAGCTGCTTATCTGGGCTATATTCTTCTGTTTGGAAATAAATTTTGTATGGTCAGGCAGAAGACAGTATCCTACATGAAGATATTGAGGAAACTGATTGAAACATCACTGATACTATAGAAAAAAAGAAGTCCCACTTGTAATATGTTACATCGTGTAATCAGGATGAGCGGAAGACATGGAAAGTCTTGGGACTATTTCAGAGGGAGATTTCTTTTTCCTTCTACGTTGAAATACATTTTCACAGTTGAAGAGCATTTTTAGGCTTTTAGACCAGCAAATCTTTCCTAGCATGTCAGCCATGGAGGCTAATCACTTTGGTGTAGCACCTATTTGTTCCCAATTCACATTAAAAAAATGGACTATAAACTTACAGGTGGGCCGGGATAACCATCTCCTTTTGGCCCAAAGGGTCCGGGGGGTCCTGGAAGACCTCGGTCACCCTGATGAAGGCAGGAAAGACAGCTGAGGTGAATGCCAATACAATTGCTAGCAGAAAACTTTCAATGACAGTGAAACTTCTTTGGCAAATATACTGTAAATTGATTTTATCTGCTAATGTGTTTTACTGTGTGAATTATTTTTGTAGGTTATTAATCCTAGTCTAAAACTGGGATATTTAATAGTGCTGAGGATTTACAGGACCCTTCACTTTTAAGTCAGTAATTTGGATCTTTTTCAAAAGTTGTGTTGTTATTTGTAGCCTACATGTAAGAAGGAATTACTCCAGTCGCATTCACCATATTTTTATCATGATTACTATTCCAGCTTTGGGGGAATGAGTCCAAACTGACAAAAGCCAAAAGTCTAGTATGGGAACTGAATTACTCCGTAGCTGCTTTACGTTAATTCTTGTAACTGAAGATAGATAAACTGCTGCAGAGCATTAGGAAAACCATATAGGTTCTGCACATGCTGTATGTTTGTGTAGTGAGACAAGGGATGTAGGGGAGGGGACAACGGTGGTTTATGTGGCTACCTAAAATACGAGCATGAATAACAGTGGTGAGCAAAGCCCCATGCAAAAATAATTTTAAAAAATGAGACTGTAAAGAGTTTTACCATGTTCAGCTTAGTGCAGATGCGTGTCTGAGAGTGAAGCAACAGCAAAACCACTAATACCAAGAAACAGCAAAAAGTGAAGAACACAGTAACAGAAACATGCAGTGTCGGCTGATTGAAAGAGCTCTGGGCGCTCAAGGCTGAGGGAGAGAGACCTGCAACTCAGCAAAGAACCTGCTTCCTGTTGGTTGATTCCTGATGGATTCCCAGAAATAGAACAACATGCAGTTCTCTGAATTAAGTGGACTGTACCAGAAAAGTACCTAATTCCATTATCATCCTCTCCTGATGAAAATAAATTTAAGGATCTTGAAAACCACTACCTGATCAAAAAGGGATAGAGATTGTTACATGTTTCTCATGCTTCTGTTAACTGTGTTCAGTTCATTCAAAGAACAAGGGATAAGGGCTATTCTCAAAAGGACTGTCAAATTCATTAAGTAAAAAAAAAGGGGGTGGGGGGCAGCATCTTTTTTTTTTTTTAAGAAACACAAGTTTATATGTCCCATGTTTCTTGGTGTTCAGACAAAATCAGCCCTGAAATGAAGACTGGCTTACAAAAGTTGAATCTAGGTAACACTGAGGCAATAGTAGAGAAGTGCTAGAGAGAACTCCTTAGAGATTAGCTACTTGTTCTTCTTCCACTGCTTAAGACATCTCTTCTCACATTGCCACTCTGGCCAATGTTTTGAGATCTTTTTGGAGTCTGGATTACCCTGTGTCAAAATCAGGAATGAAGCAAAGGAGCCTGGCTGAGAAAAATTAACTGTGCTTGACAGGTAGGCTATTGTAAGCACATAAATCAGGTGTTTTCTCTGTATTCACTCTTCATCAGTTAAAACCAGTCATTTTAAGCACATATATCAGGTCTTTTCTCTGTATTCACTCTTCATCAGTTAAAACTAGTCATTTTTCTCCTGGTTCTCTGCCATGTGAAAGTTTATGGTTCATGAAGCCTGGAAGACTGACCATCCATGGTTTTCTGGCTCTGCAAATCCTTATACTCTGTCAGTGTTGTATGACATACATTGTTAAGAACTGTGGGACACTTGGCCACCCTAAGCAATTTGCTGTGGCTTCACTGGAAACCTGCTTTATTTTACAGTTCTACAGAAATGAGTTTACCAATTTAGGAGTTACCTTTGCCCCAGGAAGCCCAAAACCTGGTTCTCCAATTGGTCCAGCAAGACCAGGTAGCCCAATGTCACCCTGCAATGAAGAAAATATATATTCTAGTTATGTATTTTATTAAACACCAATCACAGACTGTGTTTTTTGATTTCTGTTGTACAAATTTATATATATCAAACATAACAGATAATTCTATTTATTGCTATTGCAAGCATTAAACACCAAAAGGAGAAGAAAGAAAAGTATTTTGATATCCAAGGTTATCCAAAACAAAGAAATGAACATAGGTAGGCCACACCTCAAGCTGGCATACAGTTAATACCGGGGCATGGTGGTAACTAGACTGGATATGAGCCATAACTCTGTTAATAGGAAAGATATTTTATTTTACCTCATAAGGCTGAAATTATTTACATGAATAGTGCATGGCCTACTTTACAGTTTTCATGCTGTGTTTATAAGCACTAGGATCTGGAGTGTGGATGTTACCTTTGGTCCAGGCACAGCTCTTCCAGGAGGGCCTGGCATTCCAAGACGTCCTGGTGCACCAGGCTCTCCCTGCAGTGAAGGAGGAACAGCAAAAATGATGGATTCTTCTAAAAGTGGGCATGAGCATCTCATAGAGAAAACATTTATGCAACAATTTATGATATTCCATTAAAATTCTATTAGAATTTCTAATATTCTATTGTATGTGGAGTGAAATCTAACTATTTGAAGAACTGATAACGGGCATAGTTCTGATTTCTCATTGGAAATGAGATTCTTCTCAGTCACTGAACAAATATATGCTATTAGAAATCCCTCTCTTAGTGTATTCGAGACTTGGTCCAGCATTCAAGGTTTCCTGCTCAGCTGTGTAGGTATACTGAAAACATGCATATTTTTCTGTTAGATTTTTTAAATAGTTCTTTCAGTGTACTTTTTTACCCCTTTTTATTTTTTCTCTTATGTGGAATAACACACTCTTGTGTGTATGAAGAGCAAAAGACTTAATCAGAAACTGGAGGAGAAACCTAGAGGAGCCCTTCTCTCACTGTCAGTGAGTACTGAATATTTGAATAGAACCTCCAAATCCATAAATAATATCGGCCATGAGTCAGCGTAAGGGCAAATGAAGTCCTGTCACATATGTACTATCTTCCCAAACATTTCAGCATAAAATTACCAGTTTCAGTGCCCCCTAACTTTTTCCAAACAGACAGGGAAGCAATATGTTAAATGCAAAGCTTTTTTTTTTTTTAAAAAAAATGCTTCCATATGTTTATAGGGATCATGGTGTCTTGCTAAGAGAAGACTTAGATGAACTTCTTTTTTTTTTAATTATTTTTTTTAGAAGGAAGTTCATTCTGGGACAGTTGTTTCTGAGATCTAGAAGAAAACACAGCTTTTGGGGGCTGTTTTACACACATAATGTGACAATAAACCTACTTTAGCTCCAGCAGGTCCAGGCACTCCTGTTGGTCCAGTTAATCCACGTATTCCTCTCTGACCTTGATCTCCCTACAAAAATGGAGAAAACATGTCACACATACCAAATAATATTAAGAATGTGTTAAAGAAAATGAATTGCAGGTATAAGTGAAAGGTAGTGAAGTTCTATGTCATAGCTGTTACACATGAGCTGTTCCTATTGCCTTCAATGGCAAGTCAGTTAACTGTGCTCAGTAGTCGTCCAGTTAATTAACTGACTTACCAGTGAATAGTGTGGAAAAAAAAAAGAACCAAGAGTCTTAAAGATTGCATCCTTGCAGTTGCAAAATCAAGTTAAGTAATACTTGATACTATCTAAGAGAAATCAACCTAAAAAGATCATTCACTCAGAGGTACTTTTTTAAAATTCAAAGGCAAATAGGGCCAGTCAATTGACCATGATGCCATCTCTGGTTAATCAGCTTATAATTCGGGGCAGAAAAAGCTAAGAATAGATAGTGTAAAGTTTGTAAAGGGATGACTGCTATTTAAGCATATTATTAAGCTGTAATAATTACAATAAAAATGAAACAGCTATGACTCATTCTGAAAAAGTTCCAATACAGTAATTAATTTTATTGCAGTATCATGTCATCTGCATGTATTCCCTATCAAAGTAATCTGAAAAGATGGATACCTCGATTTTCCTTCCTACACTATTTTTTAGCCCTTCCAGCTGCTTGCAGTCATGATACTTAATATCTTTATTTCACTTCTATGTGACATTTAATCTCTGTATGTCTTGTCCAGTGTCTTGGACAACTATTTCACAGGATGCAGATGCTGATAGGAGAAACCAGAATTATTTCTCTATCTGTGAATCAGTACAGAAGACCAGTACAAGATCCAGAACCTAAAAGTTTGACTCAGTTATTCCTACTAAGAGGAGTAGTATTCCCAGTTATCTCTTTGTGAAGTTCTTGGACCAGACTACCACAGGTACTGGAAATAGTGAGCTATTGAACTGTTCTGCTGTCATTTAACCAAAAAAAAAAAAAAAAGCATGGAAAAAAGATGTCTTGGGTCGTTTTTTATTAACTTTGTTACTTTAAAAATTGTTTTAGGCTGGGGCTGAAATATACTCTGCAGTTAACCACTTTTAGAAGCACTAAACTAATAGTTTAGAAACCTACTCCTTGAGGTATATTTTTTTGTTACTTTTAACAGACCAAAAAGAGAAGGCTTTGACAAACCTATTCGTGGAACATTACAGTTCTGAATGTCACCTTTAGTAAGAAGTACTCACCTTTGCCCCCTGTATTCCAATCCCTGGAGCACCTTCAGGACCTCTAAGACCAGGTAACCCTGGTTCACCCTTGAACAGAAAAATCAAAGCAGCATTTCAGAGTACTGCACAGACATGGTGCAAGAACAACTCTTCATTCACTTGCTCATTAAAATCATAGACCTTTCAGAGTCAAAGCAAAACTCCCACTGGTGTCAGTGGGCCCAGGATTTTCTTCCCATATTCAGAAGCAACCATTGTAAAACTCTAAGTATATAATTTTAAAATCTAATACAGGGTTTCTAATTCTAGGAAGGCTATGAAAGGTTGCCTGTAGCCATTTCAGTGGTTTCCCTTCTCAGTTGCAGGGTGTTTGGTGGATTAGAAAACCCCAACAACTGTAAATAAGATAAGACACCCCACCCCCCCAAAAATTTTTTCCCAATAAAGGTGTGTTTGAAAGAGAATTTTTTTCACTGAAAAATGTGCTACTTTTCCTCTTGTCCATGAACACTCTTTTCTAGGTTATAGGTATCAGTAGAGAGAACAGTAGGAATGTTTGGTGGGAAGCAGGTAGACTGCAGACAGACATGAACCAACCTTTTGTCCAGGGGCTCCATCTTCTCCTGGAAGACCAGGCAAACCTGCCAGTCCTGAAGGGCCTGGCTCACCCTGACATCAATAAAAAGTAAGTCCTTCTATTAAATGCAGACTTGGTACTATTTTTTCTCTGAATCAAGGAAATCTATTTTAAAATATTTACTAAACTGTATGTATATTTGTAGCAAACATTAATGCATAGGAACCCATATCTTGCCTTTTTTTATAAAGACAACTCTCATGTATCTGGAACTGTCCTCCATATGATTGTTTGAACTGTGGATTTTATCTATGCAATTAATATTATTAGCTATTGACACTCCAGCTCATTCTTAAAAAGTAATCCCATCATTTCATTGTGGCAGCATTTGAAGTAAACATCAGATAGAGCTGACTGTGACATGATGATTGACATATTTATATAAAGGTTCTAATTTATATAAGTCCTGACCTGGTTTTAGATTAAATGGGATCATGTGGGCTCAAATGGGTTTACTCAGCATTACCATATTTTGTGAAATTAAAGAAATCGAACAATTTCTTTCCTTTTCCAACCCGTCCCAGATCCCTAACAAAAGAATAAAACCAGGACAGCCCTGTGCCTTTCCACTATCACAAAAGTACTTTTTCATCTATTCCCATTTTTAATGATAATCTGGCTGTTAATGACATAGAGACTGGTTAATATTTTGGTCACTTTAGCACTAAGATAATGTGGTTACAGCTTCTTCTTCTCTAAGCAACCGTGCTTTCTGCCTAGTAGCACAGCTTGTTTCCCGTGTGAAGGTGTGAGTATGTAGCTGCTGCTTTGTTTACATCCTATCCTGTGTGACAAGGGAAGGACCAGCACAATAAGCACTATTCAGTGCTTTTTTTCACCAGCTCTGGCTATACTTTAGCTTATGCTGGGGACCGTGAGTTCTGGCAACTGTTTAATATTCTGGATGGTTTTCTGCACAGAGCTGTAGGTGAGCTGTATGCAACAGTGACTTGAGCATGGGTCTGGCACATGGAAATTTTCAGTAACAATAAAATCTTACGACTTTTGTACATGTTCCCATTTCTGGAGGTTATTGAAAGTCTGTGTTAAAAATTTTAAAGACTAGGAACCTAAATTTTATGTCTAAACGTATTTTTAAGTGCCTACAGAAAGGATACTCAGGAAACACAAACAAACAAACAAATAAATAAATAAATGCCTCTATTAACAATGTACCTTAGAACCAGGTTCTCCAATACCTCTTTCTCCTGGCACTCCAGTCTCTCCTGGCAAGCCTTGTTCACCCTTAAGTAGGAATTATTTTTTGACAGTGTTATCATGGAAGAATAGAAAAACATCTTCTTCATTTCTTATATTTGAAGAAAGATTAGTGTGATATTGTCTTTAGTACGCCATGTTAAACCCTTGGTCACAAAGACTGGGAATCTGCAGCATGTTTTGAACTGCTACAAAAAAGTTGTTGCTGGAAATGATTAATGCTGCAAATCTATAATTATATGTCCCTTGTGAGTATTTCCCACCAAACTAGCTGATATTTCAGGAGCTTATCTGATACCCACAGACAATTCACCCTTATCTGTCTTTTTACCAGTGGTAAAGCATAATCCTTTCACAATCGCTCAAAATGTAAGAGGTGATCTCTGATGTTACAGAATACTTTACCTGTCATGGATCCTTGATCCACTTATATCTCTAGTTCTTTATTCTATGCTTTAATAGCCTTCAGTCATTCAGAACTTTATCTGTCACCTCTTTCAGAAAATTGTCTTAAATCTCCATTCCAAACACTTCAAGGGTGGTATCTTTCATTAACAATTCTGCATTTTGCGAATCAGTCAAGGCTAAATTATTCTGTTTTCCTTCAGCAAAGGTAATATTCGTTATACTGTGGACCATTCTTAACTGCTAGATACAGTAAATACAGTGTCAGGTGAGACAACAGGCAGAAATACAAGGAAGTCAGCCAATTTGTAAAGTATGTATGTATTTTTCTGGAATGGAAACAGTACAGTGAGGATAAAAATGATACTGAAATTTTGGTCTTCTGTTTTAAGTTTAACTACTTTTTGGAAATGATTCACTGCACCTGATATGATGGAACTGCAGGTTCAAGGCAGACAACCCTTTTTATGGAAATGTATCAAAGGGCAGCTCACTGTCTGTTATGTAATAACTCAAAGGTTCTGTGGTGAGCCAAGTCAAAACCTAACTAGATAGCTAATGGCAGTGCTTTATCAAGGCTTTTCAGTGGAGTAGGATCTACTGTACAGTTTAATAATATTAATAAAGAGAATAATTTCCTGCAGCTATGTCAATACTTAAGATTGCTGTTCAGCACTTTAACAAGTGTAAGGATAGAGACACACCATTTCTTAATCAGGAAACATAACAGTAAAAACAGCACAGTAGCTTATACTTCAGAAAATGCCCTAACCTTTGGTCCAGGTACTCCCTGTCCTGGTAGCCCTCTAGAGCCAGGTGGTCCTTTTGGGCCTTCCACTCCCTGAAAAGATTAGTTAAGTAATTATTAAAAGTAAAATATTCTCTGTTACTGCACATTTAAGTGTGGGGTGAGGCGAAAGTGATACTCTGCACCTTCTCTCCTTGAATTCCAATTCCAGGTAATCCAATTGGCCCAGGTAAACCAGGAGGACCAAATTCACCCTGGCAAACAAAGTACAAATACTTAGTTGAGTAAAGATACAGAAACAATCTGGGACAGCTCCCATCCTAGTACACATTGACTTAATCTCTCCTGAAGTCAGTGAAGCTGGGAATCTGACCTTTTATCTTTCATACATGCTGGTTCAGTTGCAAACAACTGCTAGTCTCCTTTTCCCTTTCTCAACCTTAACTTTCCCACAGAATCAAATTCTTTTTGTAAAATTTCCTATTTTAATATGAAGAGATGTTAAAATAGGTTGGGAGAGTTTACTGGGCATAAATCTCCCTACAAAATACCTTATTATCCAGGGCCTATTGTAGATTGCTTGCCTCATTACACCTTTTGTAGTGAATATCAACCCTGCATTTTCTGTGTTATGTAGATTTATTGGCACTTTGTTAATCCCCTGGTGTATTTACTGCTCACCTTTTCACCTTTTATGCTGATGCCTGGAAGCCCACGAGGGCCTTTTGGTCCATCAAAACCACGGTCTCCCTACATGAAAAAATAATATGTTGTTAACTGTGGAAACACACTCTGAAGTAACTAGAGACACTGTTTGCTCTGTCATCATGAAAATCAAAATGAGAAGAACCGGAAAATAGCTCCTGGATCTGTTTTCCAGGATAACAGAGGTCACCTTTTCAAATGAGCTTGCTCTGCAGTTTGAAATTGTTGGTGAAAGAGCTGAACAAGCTTCTTTTTATCTTTCTGCTCACCTTGATTGCTTAATGTCCTGTCCTGCTTTCCCTAAAATCAATGGCAAAACCACAACTGATTTAAATGTCAGCAGAGCTGAGTAATGAGACTAACTGAAAGCTGAATTCTGCTCGTTTGTCTCATGGGTTAATCTCATTAAAGTGTGGCAATGAGGATATGGCTCTCACTAAGAATTTTGCCAGAATAGAGATCAGTCCAAACTGTATTGTTGTAGAAGTCTATTTGTTAATGTCGTGTTTTTTCTAAATGTTTATTTACAAAACGGTGGTCTTGGGGAAAATGCAGGTTACTAATAAGGACATGTATATTGTGCTTTCTTGTACTTCTGTTAATAAAACATGTAGAGACAGATTGTTAGCTTGCATAAATTGTCACAGAATCACCCAAGGCAATAAAGTTATGCCTCAGACAGGTCTTTTCTCTCCCTAGTAACCAATTCCATCATTTTCACTTTGACTGAAATTATGTGGATTTCTGTCTAAAATAACATTCTGTACTCCTGATGCTTTAGGATACATGCTTTCATTTTCCTTTTCACTGAACTGTGAGCTTGTAGTAAAATCTGTGCTTTACTTATTGTAGTGTTTCTTCCCACATGATTTGTTATTTCAGTGGCAATGGAATGATTTCTAAATGCATTTTCTTCAAATAATTTTTTTTGTTTTAATGCATGAGATGTGCTAAGCAAATACAACAGTGAGGTTAGACAATTTATATTATAAAACATATACTGGAAGTTTGAAGATACTATGTTGCTAGCAGCAGTCAGATTTAAACCTAGCTGGCTATAGTACTGTGCTAAGCAAAAATCCTAAGATTTTTAGTAAAGGGATAGCTGGGGCCTGCATCTGCAGTACAATATTTTATTGTTTTCCCAACCAAAACTGCCTTGGTGCATGCATAAACATGAGCAAACCATTTAATTATTTATTTAGCTCATGTACAAGCTGACTCACTTTGTTATTGTAACCAAAGGTCAAAGTGACATCTCAACCTGGGAGTTTGTTTTCAGTGGGCAGCAAAAGGACCTAGCAGTGGCTTTAGTGAGTCCATCCATGTAGGTGCAACTACTACTGTCATTACTTCCACTGGATCTGAAAATTAGCAACAGCAACTTTCTTTTCCCACAAACTGAACACAGACTTCTGCTAAAATGCATAAACCTGTGGCTGAGGTATTTAAGAAACTTAGCAGCCTGTCTTTAGTGACAGCAAAGATCTATCTCTATATAAGGATTTAGAAAAAAGCAACAATAAAAAGCTAAATTTTTCATCTAGGAATCACTTTTATAATATTTTATTTAAAGTCAGATGCTTGAGGCTGTTTTAAAATTATAGCTTGAATTCTTTCCAGGCTTAGATCCCACAAATCAAGCATCAGGTGAATTAAATATCAGCTTTACAGGCCCCAAAGGCTAGCTGTGACTAGAAGTCATGTTTGGACCAACTGAATTCTATGAAAATATATCAGGTTAATTGATGCCAAATTTCAATATTAATTTACAAGCTACTTTCTCAGATTCCCATGGCTGCTATGAACTTGTTTTGGCATGCACTCATTTAATGGTGCTGCTCTGATCTTAAAACACCTCGATGGCTGTACCTTTGCTCCTGGAAGCCCTTCTCCTGGTGAACCTCTTTCTCCTTGAACACCTTGCGGTCCTTGAGGCCCCTGTTAACGTAAATTTGAAATGGTATAGAAT